TAAATTTGGATTATTAGTTCTGCAGACGCAGATCAAGATTGCTTCATTTTATCAATCACTGCAGCCGTTTCGCGAATATATAAATATCATTAAGATCTGTTAAGAGCACACAGATTATGTTAATCGAAACGTATATTCATATTGAACAATCTACGAAAGCCTTCTGTATATATAACAGAATAACAAGGATATCTCCAAGCCGAGCGCACTCTACTAATAACATCTAAATTGTATGGCTTGCCATTTTCATATCTATTTAGTTTTAAGCAATCAAATGTAAAAGAAATACGAAATAATAGTATATGGGCAGCTAAATAAGTTGCCATCTAAATTTGTGCTGTACATAAAAAGTTTTATATTCACAGCAAATTAAGCCAGCTGCCAATTGGTGTGAAGTGTTTATGGTTGCTGTTGTTTGCCTTTCGCCCCTCTGCTGCGGGGGCTAGGATGAGTCGAGTGGCTTCTTGCTGTCTCGTTCCGCACTGTAACGTACTTTGGCTCTAATCGCTTCTAATAACGCACAAAATTGAAAAACTTATGCGATATCATTGGGGACTTAAGCGACACGACAAGTGCAGCTGCTTGGGGGACTGAACCGAATTAAGCTGGACTCGACAACATGAACAACTGTGACAACTTAAAGCAACGCAAAGAAAAACAGAAAACAAACCCAAACAAAAAAAATTAATATATAGAGAAGTAGAGAATATATGTACTTAGAGAGAAGGGCACGGAGAGGTGTAGAGTTGGGGGGAGTTGTCATGATATGCCGTAAACAAGACCAGCTGTAGCTGTAGCCGCTGAGCATCTCAGACTAGTGGAGGATTTTGGACACATATTGAACTCTGGCCAACTGTCTGTATAAGCAGTCTGGGATACGCGTGTGGGTGCGGATGTGTGTGTGTGCGTGTGGTGTTGTGTTGTGTTGTGTTTTGTTGTGTTTTGTTTGCCTTTGCACAGTACCACTTCGGAGGCTGTACAGAGATTGTACAACAGTTATATACAGCGTGCGGCGTCTGTTTGTTTTAATTTCTCTTATCGGCAGGCAGCTGCCTCTGCTTTACAGCTGAGGAGGAAACTCCCTCTCGTATCCTAGATCCAATCCAACTCAGACTACTCTCTGCTCGCTACTTCAGCTCCCTAGTGCCATACAATTTTAATTGCACAATGGCAGTTTCCTTTTGTTTTGCAGCTACCATTTTAAAATGAATTCATGGCCTGTGCGCCGGGTGCACTTTTGTTTGACGTCTCTAATTCCGCAAGGAGTTGACTGCAAATAGAACTTGGCCGAGGCACTAGCAGGTTCTAAGTATCCCGGCGTCTGGCAACAGGGCCGAGTTATTTAATTGAAACTTGCTTTGTGACTCCGTTGGGCAAGCCAATAAAATGTTTAACTTTGATTTAGTTAAGGGATTTCAAAATAAATTAACTTTAAACATGTTTAACGAGCACCCAGCAGGCAGCAAATGCAGCGCATGGATATACATAGATATTTACCAAAGACTTGGCAATAATGAAGCAATAATTTTTTTTTTTTTTTTCTCGGTAAGATAGGAGTCCGATTCTTCAAGTTGTTTTCCTTTTCTTTCAGAGGTGGATGAAATAGAGATTTGTGGGTCTTGAATGAGGGATGTGTGATTACGATTCTTCCAAACATGTTTGGTATAATTGCTGTATTTAATTTAAGCCCTTCTGGCGATGAATGCAGCGAGTACATCAAAATAGTCGCTGAATATACATTTAATACATAAAACGCTTACTTATTCAGTACGATCGGTTAATAATTTTAGCTGGTGGTCAATTTAAATATCTGAATACAAATGCTGTTTCGACTTTGAAAAGTGTTCGATATTAGCCATAGCTGACTTCATAATTTTTTCCCTAAAATTGTATTATTAAATCTTTAACAAAATCACGAGAAATGCTCTCATATCAAAAGAACTTAAAAATCTTCTTTATACATGCCGTGCTTTGGGAGTCCAAGACCATTCAACTAACGCCTAGAGAGCGAGGTTAAGTTAATAGCACAACTAAGTATTTTCTATCAGCTACTTGATCAGCTTGTTAATGGCACATAGGCACTCACCAACTGCTTTTGGCCAGTATCTAGCTTGAGAGTTGTTGTCTTGGGCTGGTCATAAAGTGGTACACATTCTCTTGGCTTCTTAATGAGCTGCTCTTAACATTTGGGTCTCTAATCCCTGGACAAATCTGCCTGTACTGTGGATGCGTGTCGTAAACATGTTTTCTATCTTCTTTCGGGACTACTGGAGGCTACAAAAGCTCCAAGCAAAATAACGAAACACAAAAATTAAACAGGCGACTGACGACTTGGCCAAAAATGTCCAATAAACACATTTATCTGACTCCCCAAAACATAAAAACCTGCGCCGTCGATAACATTTTATAACTCAGCAAAGTGCCATAACCCACTGAAATTGCCAAAAAGCAGCTGAACACAAAGGTCGATTCTTGCCGAAGTCTGGGCCGCAATTCGCTCACTTTTACTAATGAATTAAAGCCGCAGCTAATAAAACTTAAGCAGACAGCCGTAATGTTAAAGATAAGGAACATTTGCACAAAACCAAGAAACTAAGCCACAAAACTGCCGGCCATAAAACTAAACATGAAATTATTTTGCATTTGGTTATAAACTCACATATACTTATTTTTAGGCACATAAATCATATTCTCAACAACAAAATAAATAAAAAAGAAAAGGAAGCATATTAAAAGCAAAGGTCGCATAATTTTGTATATAGCACCCAGGCACCCACATCAACAAACAAGGATAAAAATGGCACAAACAAGATATAAAAATATATTATAGGATGTCGAAGTCTTGATACTCTTGACTGTAATAAATATTTAAACAATTGCTGCTGTTTGTTGTTAAGCATATATCATTCTAAATATCAAATAGTTAATGGCCTGTAAATAACCAAAACATCCACAAATAAAAACTCAATAAATCTTTGAACTGTTTGACTTTATACATTACCAACTATTTTAATATAATCTTATGAAAATTAATTTATTGCGCTATTGCCACATTTTATTGTTTTTTGAATGTTTCTTAGTCAAACAGGTAAAAACTTTTTTTGAAATAGTTTATGAATTTGAATGAATAAATAGTATCTTTTTATTATTAAACATCTTATATAAATGTATCTTATTCCTAAAATGAATCATCAAATCCTAACAGGTGGTATACCCTCCGTCAAAGCGAATGAAAACAAAACGGCAAACAACAATAACCACAAACAAAAAATGAATCCGAAACCGAAAGCAAAAAGTGTTAATGAACAAAATAATGAGTTCCAGTGCCCAGTTTTGTGCCACAAAACATTTTATGACACTAACAGCTAAACGCCACGGGGATAACTCCAGCATCACAGTCAACAAACAGAGAACGAGAGAGAGAAAGAGCAAAAGAGAGAACGAAGCCGCAACGGAGAGTCGCCGCATGCAAGCAATAAATAATCAGCAAAGTTTTCGTTGAATCGAATTATCACCCCCTGAGGTGCAGTTCCGTAATGAATTTGTTTTGGGGTTTTCTTCAACGACATTTAGTTTCATTATGTTTCGCTTTGACTCCATTGCGGCTGCGTGGCCGAACTAGTCTCACCCCACCCCACCCCCAAAAACTAACTTACTTCCTTCCTGCTAGTCAACCATCCCCTTTAGTGTGGCCGACTCGGTTTTTCATTCAGTTCGCTCAGTTTGTCCACTGTTGTTGGTTTGTTTATTTGTTTGTTTGTTTCTCGCTCTCTGTCCAGTTCCGTTCTCTCTGTGTTTTTATACTTTGATGCCGAATGTATCATAGTATATTGGTTTCATGCAGTGTCCGCCATGCTATCTGTCCGTGCGTCCGTCTGCCCATCTGTATGAACGCAACTTTATCGACACTTGAAACTTACAACACATACTGGTCTATGCCCGCATCAAAAGTGTAAAAATTGGATGCTACCACTCCACTAGGGGACTAGGAAATCGATAAAATCTATATTCGCAAATTGATAAAGCCACATATCTCTCACAATTTAAAGGTTACATTTTACCAAATTTGTTTGGTAGGGCATTGGCGATGTCCTTCACAGATCGGCAGATACTCACTCAAGCCAACTTTCGCCACCCCCAGGCCCCCTCCCCTAAACATTTTAAATGGCTATATCTTCCGCAGTTTTTGAGTTAGAGTCGTCAAATTGGCCAATGCCGATATTTCGGAAAGTGTAAAGCGATAAGCCCGCATATCTCCCTGAATTTTAAAGATAAGGTGAGCAACCTTAGAAGGTAACTTCATCCTCCAAGGATAAGCATACGATTTTTCAGGCCACGCCCACACCCGCCGCCCCAGGAACTTTGACCCTCGAAATCTAAAATGCGCATGTCGTCCACAATTTGTAAGCTGGAGTCACAAAATTGTAAAAGTATGTTACTGGTAACTCCCTAAACCGATACATCTATTTGAGTAAATCGATAAGAGCATATTTCGCACACAATTTAAAAGCTAGCTGGAAAATAATTTTGGACTACGCCCACTCCCATCCCTAAAAACGATAAAAACCCATATCTTCCGCAATTTAAGAGCTACAGTTACCAAACTTCGAAGTAACGTTACTAGCATATATCTGCCGCATTTTGAAAGGCAAACTTGGACAGTATTTCTTGGCTACATCCACCCTGTTTTTAGCTACATGTTATCAGCTTTTATTACGTATGAGATCAAAGTATTTCACAGTCGGGTACGCCTGACTGCAACGTTCTCTCTTGTTTATAGTCACATTTGTTGTAACTGTGTCTATATATAAATTTTGCTAGCGCATATTCATTCGATTTGATGTGCTCTTGGTCAATTTCTGTCTGGTTTTACGAATTGTGGCTTGTTCTGACATTGTCATTGATTTTCCAGCTTACCCCAGCTTCCATTGACACGTTCGTTTAGAATTTAATTCAGTTTATGTAGCTATTGGATATGTGTTTTTAAATATAAATATTTGTGTTTTTTTATGAAATAAGAAACATTAAAATTTAACTAACTGTAACACTAAATTGTTCTAAATGTATATATATTGCCAATTAAATCCACAGCGCCAACTTTTATGACTCTTTTAGACGAGTTATGTAGAAATGATATGTTCCATGCTTATTGGTAAAACAAGCGACAAATGGAATTAAGAGCAGAAACAGCATTTCAACGCGAGGATCAGCCATGCTGGGAAATTTATCTTCAGTCAGTAGTCTGTACCCAACTGCAAAAAAAACTCAAAAAATAAGACATATATCTAACCAATAAGATATTGATCTTAGAGCTTACCACGTATCTGAGAGAGCGTCATGGTGCGCTCTGGGGAAGTGCACTTGGCGTTTAATAAGACACGTGCCACATTTGTTAATATTCCGGGATGATAACCTCGTACCTTATCAAAATAATTATCTAGCGCCATCAAAGAAATTTAGAATCACATATGTAGAAAATATTTGTAGTTTTTCCACGTCTACACTGTACACTATTGAAAAGTGGAATGATGGGTGGGTCAAAGCACTCTCTAAAAATCCGGTTTTTCACAGACAGCAGCACATAAAACTGTACAATGCTATTTCCACTCCCCCTCTGCTTGTTCCACTTTTCAACATACAAAAATTAAACTCTCTCTCTCTCTCTATCTCTCTCTCTCTCTTCCCCTCTCTCTCTCTTGCTGTATCTCCCTCACTCTAACGCTTTGATTTGTCGAACAATTTCGGTGGTTGCTTGATCGCTTTGATGGTGGTGGGTTCGTGTAAATTGCATGTCTTGGCTAACTTTAGTGTGGACTCTAACCACAAACTGTTATACCGCTGAAAAATAACTTGCTGAAAATCTATATTTCCTATACATATTTAATGCCTAGAACTGCTTACCCCACTCACCTGTCCGCACGCTATGCGCAACCATAAAAAACTTTATTTCTACTATTATTCAAGACTATATAAAAGAAAAACGCAAAAAATACATATATAGAGAGAAGGAGATGTAGGAAAGAAACATGAAAATGACTTCACACAAAAAGTTGTGCTTATTTTAACACTTGTGGCAAACGAATACGGAAAATAATTACAAACTTTGGGGCGCACCACAATAAATTATAAACAGCATTTACAACTTTCAAAATACCCTGTTAGCAGATAAAATATATTTTAAAACTATTTTTTAACCCACATTTTATGTAAATAATAAAAAATAAATATAATAAGTGTCTAGTGTATGTCATTAAAAACATTAAAGTTAAAAATCTTAAAATTCTATTTTAATTCTCCAATAAAATTTAAGCCCAGTACAGGGTATTAAAAGAATTGTCTTTAAGGTTTGTGAAACTCTTTATTTTTTCAAATGAGTACACCTACAAACACAACAGAAGTTTGAGGTAAAGCATCAGGTTGGTCTATGCAGCACCTTAAATATATGCCAAACAAGTTGACAAAGTCATTTTAATTTAAGTTGTGCAACATTTCAACACTTTGGTAAATACATTTTCGCAGTCTGCCTTCAGGCAGTTTCAGAGTGGTAGTTGCATTGTTCTCTGCAGTGGCAACGTTGCACGACAACTGACTCAAAAGATGTATCTATGTATGCTGGCGTGCAAGTGTTTGTGGGTAATACAAACAGAAATTTATGCGACAATTTGGTCCTCGTGGAACGTTCTTAAATTGAATGTTGCCTATTTTTCGAGCTTAACATTTTGCTATTACGCACATTTTGTGGCTTTTATTTTGCGCACTTAATTTGATTTCTTCTTGGAACGGCTTCATTTAGAGTCAGACTAAAGCCAACGCAAACCAATTATCAATTGTGAGAGATACGAAATTCGTTTTTAATGCTAAGTTCCAAATATATATATTATAAATATTTAAATAGTTTCAGAGTATTGCACAAAATATATTAAGATAGTACACAAAGGGAACAATACAAATCCCGTCAAGGAAATAGCTCTTAATTTAGTAAAGTGACTTTTGTTTTCCATAAACCAAAAAGACATAGTTCAGGATGAACATCTTTATTCATTTATTTGCGTATTTAAATATATTACAACAGATCGACAATTATATAGTTAATACATATCGATAATAACACAAAGTCTATATAGGATCTGGCGCTTGGCTTAGTAAAATTAGTTTAATTTTTCCAGAAATCAAATTGACGATGATCATCATGATTATCTGATTATTCAGCGATTGCGACTTCTTTTTATGAGTTAAGCACCCCGCAAAATTTCCGCATAATAATTTGAAGCTCGTTAAAATCCATTCGCGACTAAGTGAAAGACAGCAAAAAAAGAAACTATATAAATTACAGCCAAAATGCAAACGATGTCAGTAAAACTATACCACACATACACTTATCTGCTCATATATGTAAGTTTTATATGCACTCACCCACACACTTAGACACTCACACACACACAAACACATCCATAAACACTCACTGGGGTATCTGCGCATTGTGCATTTTGTGAATAAAATTTTGCAACGAACATAAAATTCGCAACGGAAGTTATTTCACGCTTGAAGCATGCCGCCGCTGCAGCTGCCTCTGCTGCTGCCGTTGCTGCCACGTGGCGTTACGTCAAAACTAACTAACGAAATAACAAGCGCACCAGTGGGTTGTGTATGAAGTGGGCGGGGTGGGATGCAGAGTTCTGCAGTTGGGGCTAACGAAATTGGAGAGCCGGAGAAATTAAGCAGCGTAACAAGTTGTCAGTATATGAGTCGCTGCAATTGTGTGTGTGCTCATGTGTGTGTGTATATATAATTGGTTCAAAGTTACAGCACTCACACACACGTACACAGTTACCTGATACAGATACGTGAACAAGAAGTCGCTGCAACAAGTTTAATTAACATAAAATATGTAAAACAAAAAAAAACATAAACTTGCATTTAAAATCAAATTACGCAATGTGTTTGTGTGTGTGCAATTTATTGTGGCATGCTTTTCGGGGCGCTTGGCATTGGCAGCACCCAAGCTTATACATAATATGCCGTATTTTTTTGTATTCTGCTGTTTTTCCATTTATTTATTTCCATAATTACAGCAACAACGACTGCAATGTCGACCCATACACAACTGTTGTAGTTGTTGTGTGTGTATGCTGTGCTGTAGTCACATTTATTAATTCCAATCCATTTACACAATTGATTTACGTCCCACATAAATTTCGTAATAAATGAAGCTCTTGTAGGCACTTCGAGGCCAGCACTGCCTCTTGGCCATTTGATGTTGCACAATTACAAAGAAACACACATAATACAGCCAAGCGCCCACACACACACACACACACACACAGACACACACACACACACACACACATACATACATACACACACTCACACACAGACAGATAGACACACCACTCACGAACGCTTTACATTAACCGCTGCAATGTCCTGCAAATGGAGCATTACACTTGCCACATTTTCTGAAAATTATTATCAGTTCAACTCCCTTACAGGTCACTTAACCACAACGCATGGACTCGGATAATGATCTGTGAACCCTTTCGCTTACCAGTCTACAAGATACAATTCAAAACTTCGTTCAACATTTTCTTGAACTAACCAAATAGTTCAAATTGCATTCCAAATGCTTCACACTGCCTCAATTATTTTGTGGTTCAGTGCCTACTTTTTGGCATGAGCAATACAAACAATACAAACAAATAACATAGTCAATGAATTGAATATTGATTTAGATCAACATGTTAAGCCATCATCATTAATTCTAAGTTCGGTCAGCTAGATATAATATCTTTTGGTAAACATATTAAGCCAGCTTTTAGAATTTTCGAGCTTAGCTAGTGGGAAATCCTCAATAGTTTTAAATTTAGAAAAATTATAGTCATGCATATATTTTTTTCAGATAAAGATTTTAAGCCAACATTCAGAAACTTCAAATGTACCTCGCTCGCTATATTTTTTTAGATAAACATTTTAATTCAAAATTTAGAAATTTCAAACTATGCTAGTGGAAAATCGTCAAAAACTTAAAGTTCTACGAGCTAACTATAATTTGATGGGTTACAAATTTTGTTTATTGTTTGCAGACCTATTTTTACAATTTAAATATGTCAAGTGTATTTCTTTTTTTAAATTTATATACTACAATTTATTTCAGGTTATTATGCCAATCAAATCATATTTATATAAAGATATAAGTGCTTATTGTGAGGACGACTTAAAAACGACATTTTCCGCTTGATTGAAATATGTGATTGATATATGTGTGCTTGCTATATATGTATTGAGAATACTTTTGAATAGAATTTATCAATTAACCGAAATGTCGTCATGGGCAGAACTGCGTTTTGCTAATCTTGCACTATTTTCACAACTGTCAAGGTATCTAATTGAGTGCACACCCATCACATAAACAGACACACAACACACCTCAACACCTGAATACATTGAACCTTTGTTTGTCAAGTCTCTCACTGTCTGCATATACAACATGTATCATTATGTATATGGCACATATATAGCTATGTTGCGTCTGTTGTATGCAATCAATTTTAACCAAATACCATCTTCACGCAGTATTGCTTACCAGTATTGAATGTGTGTCTTAGTTGTCTCGAGGTGTGTACTTATTGAGAGTGCTTAATATGGCAATTAAAAGATGATTCCAATTAAGAGTTAGCTGCGTGAATTGCACAATACACCCACATCTGCCATGCCCCTCTTATTGTGCACAAATTGCATTATCATTAGAGAGTAGACCTCTTTAATAGCCTTAATAAACAGGACATGTCCAGAAATTAGTTAAATTAAGTACACAATGCGAGACATACACGCGTGCAATTTGATATATTCCTCTAAATATACCTCGAAATTAGTCTCATTAAACTAGAACAAATCTGATATATAATTTTGGAGTTACGCTGTAATCTCGAAAGCTAAATGGTCATTTTTAGATGTTTAATGCATTAAAGTGTAATATTTTGATTGTTAGATAATATAAGCATGGATACTCGTACAAATTTGAAACTTATTGGATTTATTTATTCAGCTTAAAATTTAAGAATGTATAATGTTTATTTTACATCTCTACAGGGTGTACAAATTAAATAAAGCTGCAACCGTAATCTATAATTAAATCGTGCTCGACGGTTTGCTTGTTTTCATGCGAATACATTAATATTAATTGCTTATATTTAGCACTATTTAATAGCTTAATTAAATTTCCACTTAAAATTGTGCGCACTGTTTTTTTTTAAATAAAATATTTTTTTTTATTGTTATTATTATCAGCCACAAACAATTAATCAGGTACAAGTGCTGAGTGGGGAATTTTGACAAACAGACAAATTTCATGAATTAAACAAACTAAAAGTGCTGCACACATAATTAGAAACATGATACTCGACCAGACTATATATATATATATATATATATATATATATATGTATATGCCTACTTACAAACAATTCTCAATTGAT